CAATGGACTCTAGAAGTGTTCTTCTTTGTGTGTTGTTGGTTGTTGCTATGAACATTTCAGTTCTACAAAATGCAACACCAGTGAGAAAATCAAAAGGCTAGAATAGGAAATGATTTATGCTTCATGTCACAGCAGAATGTTTGAGTTTCAAATCCCTTTGACCTTTTTAGATCTTCCTTTGACTTCATCTTCATCATCCTTCTGATGTTTTGTTTTTGTATTCAAAATGAATTGTTTTAGATTACTTTCATTAGTGACCCCCTCATATGAAATATTAGGATCAAAGTTTATGGACATTTGGACATGTGGAGGGCAAAGCAGCAACTTCTAGATGTCTATTTTTACTCGAGTTTAAGTACAACACTTAATACAACAATATTATTTATTTTGCTTACTTTGGACTAGTAGATTAGCATTTTGGTGGTTCACAAACTTCACAAATACTTCCAGCTTCATTTCTTTGTCCATATGTTATGCCTGCTTTTCACTTCATCTCTTCACCGTAAGAATCACAGCAGCCAAAACAGGCAGACTGTGCAGTAAAAGCATATTTACACAAGTTCAGGCATTGCTGGAATAATTTATTTGAGTTTAATTTAAGAATAGTTTGTTTTATGTAATTAAATAATCAACCTACAGAAACATTTTCCAGCTAGTTCATAGGTAAACTGGAAGTGAGGATAAATTACAATTTTATCTTTCCCTATAATTAAAGTCAAGTACTTATGTGCCGAATATGATCTGTATTTATGTTATTTTGAGAATGAAAGGAGATGATGTTTCTGTTCTTAAACACCTTTGATGCACAGAGGTAGTTCAATATTTTTACCTCCCTGTGCCTCCATCTCCCTTTTCTATCCACTTCTACCCTTTCTATCAGAACTTGTTTATTTACATCACGTTCTGCCTGCAGGCTTATTATAATTTGCGTGTTGTGCAGAGGTGTAGATGTGTTTAAAATGTAACTTCTGTGACACAGTGTTTCTGTCTTATTTTTGTCATTTACTCCTCGGCTTAGTGTGACGGCAGTTACCTGCCTCATGCCTTAAGTCCCGAGGACACAGTGAACCAATATAGCGACTTGCAGAGGCTGGTTTTCACAAGTAGAAACAAAGATATCTTTCATGCATTCAAGTCAGAGGAGAGTGTAAAAATAAGGTATTAGAGGATGTAGAAAGTATTTTGATAACAACGTCTGGATGTGCCGGCATAGCCTCAGCTCAATTTAACTCCTGCTGTTCTACTGTTTGCTTATTGGTGAAAAATTGAGCCCTATAAAGAAAGGAACAGCAAGCCTAAAGTTACCAACAGTGAAGGTAGGGAATGCTGTGGGAATGTTCTGCTGCAGTGCTGGAGGCACTGAATGTATCAAAGCACAAAGCCTTGGGAGTACACAACATTTCTGAGAAAATTGTGGCACAAAGGATTGAGGAAAAAAGGGCAAGAACAACAAATGACTGCTTTAAACTTAAATCTTAAAAAAAAAAAAAAAACTTTGTCTTTTCTTTAACAAAATGTGTAAAAATGACTTGCAAACAACATAGTTTGTAAGACTGCATACAGACAGGTTCATCAAGATATCACATGATAAAAGATGCTTAGAAAATGTTGGTTTGTAACAGGGTTTCTTAACTGACTTAAGTGAAGATGACAAATATGGCAGCTTTCATATTTCTCCAGTTTTTGCATTTTTTGTTAGATTTAAATGATTATGATCAAACCATTCAGATAGGTACTGTAAAAGCTGGGTAAATTCAAAATTCAGCTCTTTAATAAAAAGTGCTTACCTGCACTACCTCAGCCTGGAACAAACTATTTCTGCTGTTTTTATTGCTTTTTATTGTAATGTTTATATTTCATACTTATATTTATCTTACCACTCTTACCTGTCATGTCCCGCACTTTATGTCAGTTTTTAAATGTCAGTCTTGTATATTTCTTGTATATTTGTATATTGCAGAGAGTAAACGTAATTTAATTTCCCTTGTATGTCTTGTACATATGTAGAAAATGACAATAAAAGCTGACTTGACTTGACTTGACTTGAAAAAAGATATCCAAATCGACCAGTGCATGTTGAAATATAAAGCCATTATCCTTCTTGTTAAAGGCCCAAATTAACTGTAATGAACCAAGTACTGCAGTTAAATTTCACTAATTACACCCAAGCCTGATCACTGTGTGAAATGCAAATTGACGAGATCATGAAATCTTTAAAAAGAAGCTATCTAAACACATAAAGTAGGCTTATAGATCTTAACAATCAGTACTTTATGATCTGCGGTCTTATCTATAAAGGTTGCTTACAGACAAACTGAACCTGCAACTTGCATACAATACACCCATGCAAAGGTTGTGATCTGACAAAAAATAAATAAATGAAATGTACATGTCTAATGGAAACTCTGATAAATGCATATGTCCCTTTTGGAGACTGGGAAAACTGGCAACACGTGGGGAGATGAGGAGTTGAAGCTATACTGCATCAAAATTCCTCTGAGACAATCAATTAAATTTTCCATATTAAACTATAATAAGAGATCGACTTCATCATAAGTATTAAAAACCGCAGTGGTCTATACTGTATGCTTGCAGTGGTGAGCCATGTGCATGCATAAAGACCTGTCACTTAAACTAAAAAGACTTAAACACTAATTCAAGGTCTGCAGAATATTCAAAAGTTTCACTGTCACATTGCTCTCCCCAATGATCATTAGAGTGATGTGTATCATAGATTAATACATGGAATCTGTCAAGGTGTGTGACAATCACACCAATTGCTATAAACATTGAAAAATGCTGTGTGACACTTGTGCATAACACTGCTTGATGGATGCTTTGTCACTGCCAGAGGACCTTCCAAGTGACAACATTTGAGGGAACATGTTTCTTTAGATTTCCTGGCCCATAATGATGGGTGGTTTTTTAGCCTATTAGACTCCCTAGAGCTGCATGGAATCTTAAATTAGATGTGTCTCTGCTTCAGTCTGTCAAATAATCACGTCATTATTGGTGTATGTACACTTTAGGAATGAATCCTATACAATTTTTAATGGATGACTAATCTAAAGTAAGACATTAGAAACAAGTCTACTCAAATCCGCAAGCTTAAAAAGCTATTTCCAAGACTTTATACTCAAGTGAACCATAGCAAGTGCTATAAGATAGAAGAAGAAATAGAAATAGACTGAACAGTGGCGATGCCTTACAGCCCAGTTTCCTAACCTTTTTTTACTTGAGTACACCTGTGGGCATTTTGTCTCACCATGAGTCAGTCAAAGTATTGATGATTGTCCAAAAGTGGAATGTAAAATACTTTCACTTAAACTTTTAATTTGAGCATTTAATTCTTAGGCATTTTTCCTTCTATCTCAAACTACTGTAAAAAACAACATAATTATGTTTCCTGGAAGTTAGTAAAGAATTGAAATTAATACAAATTAAAGTCATATTATAACCCTGTATTTATAAAACTGGTGCTCTTTGAGCAACTTTTTATAATCAAATATAAATAGGATGAATTGGGATCAAAATACAGAAAAAAAATTATAGTCAGACTGAATTAGTTTAACTTTGTTTTTTTAATCAAGACACCTGAACTTGCTTTGAGCTCTGATTGCCCAGTGTGAAAAACAGTTGATCCCAGGCTGTTCTTTACATCCAGTCTGTTCCTCTGCTTGGTTTGGATGTGTGCCAAAGCTGTAGGTGAACTCAAAGAAAAACTTTATTTTTGGTTGATAAAAGCTTGTTTAATTTTTTAATTGGGTCATCACAACGCAAAACAGATCACAGAGCTATTTTATTTTACTACCTAAGAAAAAAAAAAATTCCTGTACCCCTTGTAATGCACTTGCGTACCCCCAGTTGGGAATCACTGCCTTACAGGAGTAGATGGACAGACATTTTTCCAAGAGAGCCTCAACAACTCAACTGGAAGACAGGAAAGAGGCAGGGTGAATTTCAGGATAAAACAACCCACTTACATTAGCTTGACTAATGGAAAATACAATGGCAAAACAAAAAATATGAGGAAACAGCTGAGTTATTTGAGGATGAAAACTATATGTTTGCGCACGGATATTGAGTTTAGCTTTAGAGCTCCCATAACAGAGTAAGGCTACATGAAGATCCTTTCTTAAAGGCACAGTTTCTGCCCCCACTGGACCAAAACTGCAGCTGCACTGTGGTCATTGTCAGCCCTGCATAAAGCAAAAACCCCTACTGATCAAAAGCAACACATAAGCCCGCCTGTTGATGACAGTGAAGCATGTGGAGAAACTATTTCATTGAATCATTAAACAACACGGCGTTTTTGGTAGTTAGTCAACCTGTTGCATGTAAAACTAACAAAGTATTTTAGAAATGGAACTTTCTACATACAGCTAAGCATGTTGGTGATTATGTGATCATCTTTGCCTCTAAATTGGATATCATGCCGTAATCATTAAATCATAACTATATAATGTTAACTCCATAATGAGAATGTCTGGCCATCATTGAACTATGTGTGACTGTAAAAAAACAAAGGGGAACATTTTTGGATAAGTTTTGACTGAACTCCAGCTGAGACTCCATGGAGCAACCCTAATGGGACGTTAATGTTGGGGAGCCTTTTTTATGTGGCCTAATTAATATAATTACTCAAAAAATAGCAGAACAAGGTTTCCTAACGGTAATATAAAAGACTCATTGTTAATGATCACAAACACCTGATGGCAGTTGTTGCTCTTGGCAACCAGATATTAGGTTTGGAGGGCTTTTTTTTCAAATAAGGCAAAAAAAATTATTTCTTAGAAATATATTATCTGAAAAAAAAAACTGCTTCTGCTTTTGCTTAGTTTATCAACATGTAGGTATGGCAAAATAAAAATAAATAAATAAATAAAAACATGTGAATGGAAGGAGTGTTTATTATATGTTTTGTATGATTCAAAGAGAAAAAACTAAGTATTTTGACCTCAACTGAATTCTTTCAAAATCTCCTGAAACTGTTTGTCCAGGTCGCAGAGTCAACGATGGATTATGGCACACTGTGAGTCTTACCAGCAGGAACCTGCAGATCACTCTGAGTGTGGATGGCGAGCCTTCATCCAAGGTTGAACTTTGGGAAACAGTGGAATCAAGAGGCAGCTTCTACTTCGGAGGTTAGTTTGTCTCCCGCTTTGTCTTTTTTTTTTTCTTTTTTTATTCCCACATTGTCACTTTCAGTTTTCTGTGAACAGTAAAACTAAAGGTTTCTACTTGTGTTTCTTCCATCAAGGCTGTCCGCCCACAGAGTGTCACATCCAAGCTCCTGCCTTCCAGGGGTGCATGCAGCTCATATCCATCAACAATCACCTGGTGAATCTCACTCATGTGCAGCAAGGATTGCTGGGAAATTATAATGAGCTGCGGTTTGACACATGCAATATGAAAGACAGGTAAAATAGTTTGAATATTTTTCCTATACTTTAATTATGAGGACAGTTCTCAGAGGGAGAAGACAAAAAACTTCCTCCCAGTTGATGGGTGAATGTCAGACATTATTCAATTTGGCAAAGTCGTTCATGCCCCCAATGTTAATTTGTGGATGGCAGTGTGTTGTTTGCTGCACAGCCTGAAAGTTGATGACATTCTGTCCTGTAGTGACAAACAAGCTGACTGGATCCTCCAATTAAAGTGCAACAGAAACTCCGCTGCACCTTCTCTGGCAGAGGACTATGCTAACAAGCTGCTCCCTACTGTCCTGTGTGGCATGCTCTCCCTCATTATCGTGCCCAGCTGTGGGCCCTGGCAGACCTAAGAGCTCTATAAACGTCTGCATGTGGTGGGGAACATTTACAGGTGCAAAGAAAACATGCAAACTGCCACTTTCCCTCGTGCATGCCTTGGGGAAAATTACCCCTTTGTCAGATTTCAGACTACCTGCTTTTCAGGCCAGATTGTTCGCAGTTGGAAGATATGCAAACACAACAGCGATGCCAGTCTGTCATGTCACTTTGCAAAGAGATGCACTGTAGGAATAGACAGAATGATAGAGAGAGATGTTTTATTTTCCCAAACTAGGTAAGACGGATGTTGCCTTGGTTTGGTTTCATCACACCTAATGTACCATGGGATGAGAGAAAACAGAGTCAGGTCTGGTTCTTCTACCTGAAACTTCAACTGTTCCTCTAATGGGATTATCTTTCTGGAGTATCAGCACAGTTTGCCTCTAAACTGAAATGTGTTTGCATTACTGGTCCGTCACACAAACTATATATGTAATACAGTGGAAGAAAAAGAAAACATATGTCATTGAGACATATTCTTCACACTGCTATATTATAGATGGGTCTGTTGAACGCAGCGCATACCTAAAGGTCTGTAGAGAATAATGCTGCTATTCAGCTGAAGTCTTTACTACTTAAAATGGAGAAAGGTTGTGGTTCTATAGAAGTTAATTCTACTTAAAGTAACATGTTATTGGGCTGCACGTTGGTACAGTTGGTAGCACTGCTGCCTTGTAGCTCGACGGTTCTGGGTTCGATTCCTTTCTGCACATTTAGCATGTTCTCCCCGTGCATGCATGGATTCTTTCCGGGAACTCCAGCTTCCTCCCTGTGTCCAACTACATGACTGCTAGGTTAATTGGCTTTTCTAAAAATGTTCTTTAGGGGTGAGTGTGTGTGTGCATGGCTGTGTGTCTCTGTGTTGCCCTGTGACAGGCTGGCAACCTGTCCAGGGTGTACCCCGCCTTACCTGTACACTGCGACAAGGACTTAGTAGGAGAAGATGGATGGATGGATTGATAAAATTACTGCCTCAGTTAGTGAAGTGGTTTGTGTAACTTAAGCAAATTATCATACGTCTTTAATGTACCAATACTAACATTATTTGTAAGCTTTATTTATGCTTCCATAGGAGCTGAGTTATGTTTCAAAGTCATTTTCCTTACAGATTGTTTTTCTGCGTTAGCTTTTTCTTCAGATCATTAGCTAAAATTATTATTAGACAACAGTGACATAAATATATAAGATAAAAGCAGCTTGCAAATGCTGTCTTATTACCTGCATAAAGTCACCTAAACCAACTTGGTCCTTTATCTGAACATAATTTAGATTCTTGTTAACTGTCAATCTGTGATTAATCTTGTTTAGAAGCCTGGGTTCAGTTTCACCAGCCTTGCCAAGTTACACCCATGTCTGACCACTGTCTGAACTGCCAGATAGAGTCAAGTAGAAAAGCAGTATAAGATCCCAGGAAGCAACAACATCATGGTCCGATTTAAGGAAAACCAGGAACAGATGACTAAAAACAATTCATAGACATCCATTTAGAAATGATTGCAATGTTATCTCTAACTTCCTTGGAATGACCAGTGAGTGCCATTATCCACAAAAAGAGAAAACATAGAACTGTGTTGATCTTCCCTAGAAATCATCAAGGACTCTTTATGAAGTGTAGAAAACATCAAACCTTTAGCTCTTAAAGCCCTTAACTCCCTCATATCTGCCTTATTCTAATTGTGATACAACTAAAAACAGAGAGACTGAAAATTTTTTAAGTGAAACTTGGAAGGTGTGCAACCAACACTGGGCATGAAACCAACATAGCATTAGGGCTGAAATATCACGATTGCAGTTTTATTTTAATTTTCTTTTGCATTAACCTGAAGCTGTTGATAACTTGCTTGCCTGGAGTCCATTGTTAATGGGCTTTACCTTAACTATTGTGTGAAAAAGTGTTACCTCTACTTGCATACATGGATCTGCATGCTAGCTGCAAGTTTCTCTATCTCTCAGTGTGGCTACAAACCCACTTCAAGCATTTTACCACCATTTAAAGGGCTGGAGGATTTACTCTTTTTAAATACAGTGTGATTAAAAATCTGTGCCTCTGGGATTTCAAAATGGCATTCTGTTAAATTGCTATTATATAGCAAATGCAATTAATTGCCCAGCCCTACATGGCAGGTAAAACAATAACATCACATCAACAGTCAAATATACTGGTGTTGGGAAAGTTCTTTGATATTTTACCTTTTTAGTTCCTAGATGTATCACAGCAAATATTGGAGATAGGAATTGGGCTTTCTGCGAGATAATCTCAAAGCAGAGTTTCCAGCCTTTGACCTTAAGCTAGGTTAAGCCGTGCATAATGTACATTGTACGATTTTTTTTGCCCTTTTTGGGCTGATTCTCCAGTCGTGCAAGATTTTTTTTGATCGTGCTACTGTATCTTTCAGCCTGACCATGCGTCGTGTATTGTACAGGGGGTAACGATAGGCGATGAGCCTCTCACAACCACCTCCAGATCAGGAATCGTAAGGTCGGAAGAGAATCAAGCATGTTCAAATCAACAAATCCAGTAGGGCGTTGTAAGGTGGTCGTGGACAGCTCCTGCTGTTGAAGCAGAGCTATAAGCCGATTTACCAGAACCTCATGCACTGCGCATGTGCAAACAAGGGAGTTCTTCCTCTACTTCTTCCTGCTGAGAGCGATGTGTTGGTTTTGGTCGGGCAGTGTAAGCAGGTAGATTGCATCAGAGCGTCGCCTTGCACAGTGTGAGAACATGCATCATGAGCTGTGAACTTTAAAAACCCTGCGTTTTCATCGTAAGGTTTCAGCTGTAGCTGCGTGCAACGATTGAAAATGTGGCGCAGTGTATGCTCGGGTTTATTCAGCAGGACAAGAACACCATAAAACTAAACTACTATTAAGCTGCTGTTAAATGCCAAAAATCACCTAATGCCAATGAATTAAAACTTAGCATAATGCCCCCACAGCCTTTTTAAACTTTACTTGTTATCCCAAAAGCTTGATGGCAGTTTTTGCTATCATGGGTGACAGAACCAGTTTAGCAGGGACTTTACTTCAATTAGTTCCTTCAATAATTAAAATCAGTATCTGAAAACTGCTTTATTCATTTACCTATTTTCTCATCAATCTTTAGTTTTTAATCCAAGTTATTTAAGAATACCCAGTCCGGTACTAATGAAATCAATGTCGTGGATGTGCTTGAAAACGTGGCAATTTTAAGTTTAGATCAAATAAAACACTTTTGTATAGGAGTTAAAGCTCATCCACCTGCAATCTTGTGGATGCTGCAGTGTTGTTTCACTTGACACAAGGAGATATGTGATCCTCCATTCTCAGGGAAGACGCTTAGTTGTTTTGACAACAGCACCTAAGCATTGAGAGGTTCATCCTTTCGTTCTTAGCATTTATCCAAGTTGACACATTCAATCTTTATTAAACTTACATTCTGTTCTGTTATTTTCATGCAAAGCAGTTTGCAAAGCATAACTTATGTTGGCATGTTTTGATGTTACTCATTAAAAATTTGGCCTCCAATATGTTCAGGGCAGCATCAGTTAATCATATGAAGACAAAACATTTAGTAGTTTCCTTTTCTGAAAACCCTTCAAGCTGAGCTTTAAATGGTGTCAGATCTAATGCCCGTTTTCTCTTTCCCACACTGAGAACAGGCGGTGGAGCGCAGTAAGCACATGACACAGACAAACATCAAGCAGCAGCAGCAGCCCTCTGTCTCAATGGGGATGCCCTTGTGAAAGGTGAAAATGGCTTAGACTCTCAGTGAAAAGCCAAGAATCAATTAACAAAATAATATGTATAAACTAAAATACATGGTTTCAAGCTGTAGATGAAAATAGACTGCAGTGCAGGATGTGGCTGAAATCCCTTTGGTTCAGCTCATAGTGAGGAGCTCAGAGTGTCAGAAGTTGGCTCAGCATGGTGTTTAATGAAATGGGCTTCTATTTAGTAGTTTTACTTTCATATTCAGCAACCTAAAGAACATTATTTTATATAGTAGTAGCCATTTATAATTTCCCCACTTTCCTTGATTGGCCCTTGGCTGGTCCTTGGCTAGTCCCCAACAATTCCTTTTTAAACATCTAAACTATGCTTTCTGTCATGATTTGTAAACATTAAGATCTAAATAGAAGCAACTCCTGGTCAGACCCTGTAATTCAGTAAAAGGGGGAATCAGTAAAAAAAAAATATGCATGCCCAGGAGAAGGCCAGTGGCTGGAAGTTGGAGGGGATTTTGCTGCCATTTGGCTGCCATTCGCCTGGCTTTTGAATTGGAAAGGCCATTTCGAATGGCTGCTACTGCATGGATTATAATGGAGCCATCACATGAGTAGGTATGCCACAACAGTTGTTTTCACGGCCAGTTGCACAAGGTTGTTTTCAGTACGATTCAGTAGAAGTATACCATATATCTACCTCTGATGGCTCTGTCAAAAACATGAAGTTGTTTGCTCTGAAGGGATCCTGAGATAAGATAAGAACAAACAGGAGAACATTAGGCAATATTTTTTGAGATCGACATGGTTTCCATTATTAAATTTCAAACTAACAAAAGCTTATATACAAAGTAGATTTCCTAGCAAGAAAAAGCTGTAAGAATTTTTTTTTTTACTGATTTGAAGAGG